GTAATTTTCCCTTCAATAAAACGTAAAAGCCCATCCTAATTAAACCAAACTCAATAGTCACAAAAATTGAGAATTTGAGACGATTTTTTTTTTTTTTAGTTCAAGATGTTGCACTTTTGAGCTTTTTCTTTTCAAGTAACAACAACTTATCAACTAGATCAATTTATATAACCTCAATCATTGTCTTTCTAGAGTAAGCATTTTGTCTTCATATATATTTTATTTTGTTATATTATGTTACTTTTGCCACAAAGGTTGACATCAAACCCTTCTGCTCACGCATTCACTTACGAGAAAAAAAAATAGGATGAGAGGTGCTTATACAATTCTTTGGATTTATCTTTTATTTCTTTTGTTAAATCGTGGTTTGATTGCAATTTGTTTCAACTAATGCACGCACGATATTAGGTTGTATAGTGCTATTGTATGAGTGGTAGAATATGAAAGCCATATGGTGGGATCTCAACATCACGTGCTTTTCAGTTGAGGGTGGTGAATCCGACTTACATTTTCTCTACATTTTTCTTTTTTCTCGAGCATATTTGGATATAATGGATAAAATTTTAATCTTCTTCTTAATACCATTATTATTGTAGAATTCATCATATTAAGTTCATGCTCGACTCACATTTTTTAAAATTCATTTTCCATCGAATTCATTACCAACTATTTGTATTGACAAATTATAAACATGTTTTTCAAGAAAGGAGCTTGTCCAAAGGACTTTCCGTGGATTGGATTGGTAGGTTGGTATTGAAGATTTAAAAACTGTAGGCGAATTTATAGTCCAAGTGCTTCTCGAATGTTCAAGATCCTTGAATGTGTCAAATTGGAAATACTAATAAATATACGCACCAATGACTATTCCAAACACAATAATTGACGCGAGCACAAAATCATGTTGGAGCTTGTTTGAAATAAATTTTTTTTTTTTTTTTTTGAGAATAGCTCTTGTGAAAAGTGATTTTTAAGATAATATTGTTTGAATAAAATGTAAGAAAAAGTTCTGAGTTTACGTACAAAATTATTTTAGTAAGAGTGTGTTTGGTAGGAATTTTTGGGGGAAGAATTGATTTTTGAATAGTGATATGATGGGAAATATGTGGTTGAAAAAGAAAAAAAAAAGTATTGATGTGATGGAAAATATTATTTTATTGAAGA